AAGAGATGGCTGTTTGCCTAAGAAAAAGCATGAGAGAGTATGATGCAATGTATAAGCATGTGAGGGCCACAGAGAGGAGCAAGAGTGTTTTCAGGTGTAAATCAGTGGACTGAGAAAGGGAGAAAATGGAGTAACAAGAGATATATTCTCATATGAAATGGAAACTTCTGATGTGAGAGCATTCAGCAGTGGAGACTGTCCGAGGGGACAAGAGAGGAGATTCCATCTGAACATGAGGAAGAACTTCCTGACAGTGAGAGCCGTTCAGCAGTGGAACTCTCTGCCCCGGAGTGTGGTGGAGGCTCCTTCTTTGGAAGCTTTTAAGCAGAGGCTGGATGGCCATCTGTCAGGGGTGATTTGAATGCAATATTCCTGCTTCTTGGCAGAACGGGGTTGGACTGGATGGCCCACGAGGTCTCTTCCAACTCTTTGATTCTATTCTATTCTTGTGTTTTGATCTCTGTTCTGTGTATATTTTAATATGTATTTTGTGGAAACCCGTTTTAATACACAACTTTTATAGAAATACATTTTTGTGATGTTTATCATGTGTGCCTCTTGTGACTCGGGGAGAAAGTAGTTCTCAGGGTGAGGGGAATGGGTTCACAGGCAGACCTGATGGGAGTGAGAGGGTTTCCCATGAAATGCAAACAAAAAAAAGAAATTAAGAAGAAAGAAAGGGTTCCCAAAGACCAACAAGACACACAAGTCCACTCTTACCAAAGTAGAACAACACCCGTGACAGACTTTGTATTTCTAGGAGCAAAGATTACTGCAGATGCAGACTGTGGCCAGGAAATCAGGAGACGCTTCCTTCTTGGGAGGAGAGCAATGTCCAGTCTCGATAAAATAGTAAAGAGTAGAGACATCAGACTGGCAACAAAGATCCATTGCCTAGTCAAAGCCATGGTATTCCCTGTAGTAACCTACGGATGTGAGAGCTGGACCTTAGGGAAGGCTGAGCGAAGGAAGATCGATGCTTTTGAGCTGTGGTGTTGGAGGAAAGTTCTGAGAGTGCCTTGGACTGTGAGAAGATCCAACCAGTCCATCCTCCAGGAAATAAAGCCCGACTGCTCACTGGAGGGAAAGATACTAGAGACAAAGTTGAAGTACTTTGGCCACATCATGAGGAGACAGCAAAGCCTAGAGAAGACAATTATGCTGGGGAAAGTGGAAGGCAAAAGGAAGAGGGGCCGACCAAGGGCAAGATGGATGGATGGCATCCTTGAAGTGACTGTACTGACCTTGAAGGAGCTGGGGGTGGTGACGGCCGACAGGGAGCTCTGGCGTGGGCTGGTCCATGAGGTCACGAAGAGTCGGAGACGAATGAACAACAATATTTCACAGCTTGTACAAGATACAATACACCAAAATCTACAATAAACATCAGGATGTTGGGTTCACAATACCCAACAATTATACGTTTATTGTCGATTTTTGTGTGTTGTATCTTGTACAAGCTGTGAAATATATGCTTGGTATTGTTCTACTTTGGTAATGGTGGACCTACCTGTGTGTCTCATGGAATGCAGCCAGAGGCTTGGCTTGACCCTGGGAGGGATGCCAGGCAGAAAGCAGGGACGGGGTGGGATGATGCCCGTCTCTCAGCGCCTTGGGTTAAGAGGAGATAACACTAGGCAAAGGCAATCTTTTTGAAAGTTTTAAAACATTATATATTATATATACATAATTCCAACAGACCTCACTACCTCTGAGGATGCTTGCATAGATGGGCTCGTCTGGAGGGCTCCTGAAGGGCTTGGGTGTTCATTTTGCGCCTTGTCTTCCTTCCTTGGAGTCTGCGGTTGGGAGCGATCTTGATAGCCATCGTGCATTGGATTAGCCTGTGGTCAGTCCAGCAGTCGTCAGCACCTGTCATGGCTCTTGTGAGGAGCACGTCACGGCTGTCTCTGGCGCATGTGATTACATAGTCTAAGAGGTGCCAATGCTTTGACCAGGGGTGCTTCCATGATGTCTTGAACTTGTTTTTCTGGCGGAAGAGCGTGTTGGTGATGACAAGGTTGTGTTCCGCACATTTGGTGTGAGGCAGGATGCCATTCGAGTTGCTGTTTCCTACCCCATCTTTTCCTATGGTCCCTGGCCACAGGTCGAAGTCTCGCCCGACTCTTGCATTGAAGTCCCCCAGGAGGATGATTTTGTCCTCCTTAGGTATCCCCGATAGGACAGTGTCCAGCTGACAGTATAATTTCTCCTTGATGTCTTCATCAGCATCTAGTGTTGGTGCATAGGCACTTATGATGGTTGCCTGTTGGTTTTTGGCAAGATCAGTTCGGAGGGTTGAGAGTCATTCGTTGATGCCAGTGGGTGCTTCGGACAGATGTTTCACCAGATCATTTCTGATAGCAAAGCCAACTCTGTGCATTCTTTGATCTTCTTCAGGCATGCCTTCCAGAAGAAGGTGTAGCCTCCTTTTTCTTCCTTCAGCTGTCCCTCTCCTGCTCTCCGGGTCTTCTGAAGGGCTGCTATGTCGATGTTGAAGCGTCCCAGCTCCCTTGCAATGATGGCAGTTCTGCGTTCGGGGCGTTCACTGTCACTGTTGTCCATTAGTGTCCGTATGTTCCACGTACCGAAGTTCATTTTTCTTTTTTGGCCGCAGGGTGGTGACCCCACGGGACGTGGCAGTCCAGTCAGGGATAAGAGAGGCAGACTATGTTTAGGGCACCTTTTCTAGCCCCCTCCCCATGTGAGGTGAGCACAGTGGGTCCTCAAAAGGGCTGCTCAGTCGCGGATACAGCTGCCGAACTACTCAACTGCCTGGGACCTTGAGGTAGAACGACTGAGTCCGTACCCACCGCCCATGTGCCAGTCTGTGACTAGGGGCCTCCAGATTTCACAGTCCTGCCCCCGTCGCCACTCGCTGATCGCCATGGGACTTTGGTTGGTTAGTTTTGTTTTTTTTTCTTTGGAAGACGCCTGTGTGTGGGTTTTTTTAATGTGTGGAGGTCAGTGCACAACTGATCAACACACAGTCTTCACAGAGTGAGGTTCCACTGGTGATGTAGTTTAACACAATGACCATGGCTTCTCAATCTGTTGCAGCCTTCTTCCGCCTTCACAGCCGTTTTAGCATGTACCACGTTCTGCTCCGCCGTTGAGGTCTTTGGGTCTTCGGACTGTGCTTGGTCTGGAACCTCCCCCACGGCCACTCCTGGGAGTGCACGACTCCAGTTGTTGTGCCTACAGGTTCATCGGAACACGCAAGCCCCCTCACCACGACAAGGTGACAGTCCATCGAGGGGGAGGACACGGAACAAGATACAGGTGGCATGCATATCTATGGATTGAAGGAGAGAGATTAAATAAGGCTTTCAATAAACATATAATTAGAAGAAGCCTAATAGACCACTGGAACAGGCAAAAGTTAGGTATGGAACCAAGAACAACCTGTGGGTGAGACCAATAGGAGCTCTTGCGAGACTCACCTGTAAGGATGATGTCAGAATATTCAGGGAATTCCTCATTAGGCTCAATGGCCAGCGGACGCTAAGGGGGAAAGACAAACTGGGCATCCAAGACAGATTCCTCTATCACCAATTATACAAAAGATTCAAAAACAGGATTTGCCCCCAAAAAATCAAAACTGAAAATTATATTAGATAAAGGGGGGAAAGTCTAATAGCCAGATTGTATAAATACATCCTATGTTACAAAATTGGAAGATAGTTGCGTAAAAACCTCCATGATTTTTATCTTGCAGGTAAAGAAGGTTTCTCCCTGTCCATGATGATCTTTCACTTCTTTCTTCACCAGGGAAATGAAGATTCTATGGAGCCACCTCTTGGATGCAGTAAGGAAACCAATAATATAGGAATTCTTGAGTTCACTTACAGATAAGAAAGGGAAATAGTGCCAAGTATCTGTATTGCAATTCAACAACCAAATCACTGTTGACATGGAGGAGAAAACATTTAAATGCCTGGAGTGTGGAAAGAGTTTTACTCAGAGGCATCATCTGCAGCAACATGAAAGGACTCACACTGGGGAGAAGCCCTATACATGCCTGGAGTGTGGAAAGAGCTTCACTGACAGTGGACATCTACGATTGCATCAAAGGACTCACACTGGGGAGAAACCCTATAAATGCTTGGAGTGTGGACAGAGCTTCACTCATAGTTCACATCTACATAGACATCAAAGGACTCACACTGGGGAGAAACCCTATAAATGCCTGGAGTGTGGACAGAGCTTCACTCAGAATGGAAGTCTACATAGACATCAAAGGATTCACACTGGGGAAAAACCCTACAAATGCCTGGATTGTGGACAGAGCTTCATTAGTAGTACACAACTACGTTCGCATCAAAGGACTCACACTGGGGAGAAACCGTTTAAATGCTTGGAGTGTGGACAGAACTTCACTGAGAGTGGAAGTCTACGTGAGCATCAAAGGATTCACACTGGGGAGAAACCCTACAAATGCCTGGAGTGTATTCAGAGCTTCACTCATCGTTCAAGTCTGCGTTCACATCAAAGGACTCACACTGGGGAAAAAATGTTTAAATGCTTGGAGTGTGGACAGAGCTTCTCTGAGAATGGAAGTCTACATAGACATCAAAGGATTCACACTGGGGAAAAACCCTACAAATGCCCAGAGTGTGGACAGAGCTTCATTCGTAGTACACATCTACATTCGCATCAAAGGACTCACACTGGGGAGAAACCCTATACATGCCTGGAGTGTGGAAAGAGCTTCACTGGCAGTGGACATCTACGATTGCATCAAAGGACTCACACTGGGGAGAAACCCTATGCATGCCTGGAATGCGGAAAGAGCTTCAGTGATAATTCAAATCTACATAGACATCAAAGAACTCACACTGGGGAGAAACCCTATGCATGCTTAGAGTGTGGACAAAGCTTCACTCAGAGTTCAAGTCTACGTTTGCATGAAAGGACTCACACTGGGAAGAAACCCTACAAATGCCTGGAGTGTGGACAGAGCTTCATTAGTAGCACACAGCTACGTTTGCATCAAAGGACTCACACTGGGGAGAAACCGTTTAAATGCTTGGAGTGTGGACACAGCTTCTCTGAGAATGGAAGTCTACGTGTGCATCAAAGGATTCACACTGGGGAAAAACCCTACAAATGCGCGGAGTGTGGTCAGAGCTTCATTCGTAGTACACATCTACATAGACATCAAAGGACTCACACTGGGGAGAAACCCTATACATGCCTGGAGTGTGGAAAGAGCTTCACTGGCAGTGGACATCTACGATTGCATCAAAGGACTCACACTGGGGAGAAACCCTATAAATGCTTGGAGTGTGGACAGAGCTTCACTCGTAGTTCACATCTACATAGACATCAAAGGACTCACACTGGGTAGAAACCCTATAAATGCCTAGAGTGTGGACAGAGCTTCACGCAGAGTTCAAGTCTACATTCGCATCAAAGGACTCACACTGGGGAGAAACCGTTTAAGTGCTTGGAGTGTGGACACAGCTTCACTGAGAGTGGAAGTCTACGTGTGCATCAAAAGACTCACTCTAGGGAGAAACCCAATAAATGCTTGGAGTGTGGACAGAGCTTCACTAACAGTGGAGGCTGTGCATGTGGTAAGGAGAGTAGACCTGCCTAATTTCTCTCCTAACTGCAAGCACGATTAAAGTCTCAAAATCCCATAAAGGGTCATAAATCTCTCCCTAACTGGGGTCTAGACCAAAAGAGAGGAGTCTGGGCAGTCATGAATGAATGTGACTAAAGCCATAAATCTCAGAATACAAACAGAAGACTGGGCGATAGTAAGTATGGCTGATAGAAAGGGGAAGAGGGAGGAGGAGGAGGAGGAGGAAAAAAAATGAACAAGATTATAACCTCTTTGGAACATCTTAAATTTATGGAGACAAAGACATCTAAATAATTTATCAATATGGGTTAAAGAAAATTACTATAAGTTAGTATGGTACCTTACACCAGTATGAATAGCAAATATAAATAAAAACTACTCAAAAAATTGCTGGAGAAGATGCCAAGAATCAGGAACATATGTGTGTGTGTGTGTGTGCGTGGTGGCTATGTAAATATGTAAATTTTTTGGGGGGAAAGTATTTAGAGAAATAGAATATATAATTAGTATTAAAATAGAAAGAAGTCCTAGAATAGCTTTATTATCATTATATAATAATAAACAATTGAAAAAGAGGATAAATATGTGATAACAAACTTATTAACAATAGCAATACTGCTTATAGCAAGGAATTGGAAAAGAGAAATAAATATACAAATAGAGGAGTGGTACAAGGAAGTATGGAAATTGGCAATAAATGATAAGCTGACAAACCCAGCCATAGGTTTTTAAACATCGTTGTTTTACTGTTAATGTTTATTGCTTATTTTCTGTTATGAGTTTTATTTTTATTGTTTTGTATTACTTGTTATTTATTTATTTATTTATTTATTTATTGCAGTTACTTATACCCCGCCCTTCTCACCCCCGAGGGGGGACTCAGGGCGGCTTACAAACAAAGGCACAAATTCGATGCCTGTCAAAATATACAGCATATATAAAACAGTATAAACATTTAACAGAATTAAAACACATCACTACATCTATATCTATATCTATATCTATATCTATATATATAATAAAGAAGAGTGTTTGTATCGGACAGAGGAATTGTGGAGGGCGGTGTATGTGGCAGCGTTCTGATTGGCTGCCGCTGTGGTGCTATTTGCATATGGTCTCTGATTGGCCAGCTTCAATAGGAGCCCCTGGTGGAGAAGAGGGTTCATGGCAGAAACGGGGCATGACAGAAGGAAATTTGCATATGGTCTCTGATTGGCCAGCCTCAAATCCAACATTCCGAGATGACAAAGAGAGGAAAGGAAAGGAAAGGCCGGGGCCTGGGTCAGAACACTCCCAATACAGATCGAAATAGGCACACAGAGCCCCCATCACCCACTCTACATCCTACTGCAGTTTGGAGGACTATGCACCATGGATGATGGGACTTGCAGTACCACCACTCACATTCTGAGACCGCTGCTAACCTTATCCAATGACTGATCAGGACCAAACTTCGCACATAGACCTCTCATGACCCACTTTACGTCCTGGTGTGGTTTGGCCGGGAATGGACCGTGGATTATGGGACTTGCAGTACCATTGCTCAGTTCTTCAGACCACTGCAACCCTCATCCAATTACCAAAAAATACCAAACTTGGCACACTGAGTCTCCATGACGCACTCTACATCCAGGTGCAGTTTGAAGGAGGATGCACCATGGACGATGGGACTTGCAATACCTGCACTCCCTTCCTAAGACCACTATAACTGCCAACAATGATGGATCAGGACCACAATTTACACAGAGAGTCCGCATAACTCACTCTACATCCTGGTGCGGTTTGGAAGAATTTGACAATGGATGATGGGACTTGCAGTCACTTCACTCACTTCCTGAGACCACTGAGACCCACGCCAATGACTCATCAAGACTAAACTTGGCACATGGAGCTTCAATGACCCACTCTACATCCTGGAGCAGTTTGGAGGACGACAGACCATGGATGATAGGACTTCAAGTACCTCCACTACCCAAGACTGCTGCAAAACCCATCTAATGACCAATCAAGACCAAACTTGGCACGCAGAGCCCACATGACCCAATCTACATCCTGCTGCAGTTTTGGAGAAGGGTGGACCATGGATGATGGAACTTCCAGTACCTTCACTCACATTCTGAGACCTCTGCAAACCTCATCCAATGACGGATCAACACCAAACTTGGCACATAGACCTCTCATGACCCACTTTACGTCCTGGTGTTATTTGGAAAAATTTGGAGATGGATGATGGGACTTGCAGTACCTTTGCTCACTTCCTGAGACCACTGAGACCCTCGCCAATGACTAATCAAGACTAAACTTGGCACATGGAGCTCCAATGACCCCCTCTACATCCTGCTGCAGTTTGGAGGAGGACAGACCATGGATGATGGGACTTCAAGTACCTCCACTCCCTTCCAAAGATTGCTGCAACCCTCTTCTAATGACCAATCAAGACCACACTTGGCACACAGAGCCCCCATGATCCACTCTACATCCTGCTGCAGTTTGAAAGGGGATGGACTTTGGATGATGGGACTTGCAGTACCTTCACTCACTTACAGACACCACTGCCACCCTCATCTAATAACTGATAAAGACCAAACTTGGCACACAGAGCCCCCATGACCCACTCTATATCCTGCTGCTGTTTGTAGGAGGATGGCCCATGGATGATGGGACTTTGAAGTACCTTCACTCACTTCCTGAAAATAATGCTGCCATTATCCAAAGACCAATAAAGACCAAACTTGGCATACAGAACCGCCATTACCCACTTTCTCTAATAACCCGGGCAACGCCGGGTCCCCAAGCTAGTATATAATAAAGAAGAGTGTTTGTATCGGACAGAGGAATTGTGGAGGGCGGTGTATGTGGCAGCGTTCTGATTGGCTGCCGCTGTGGTGCTATTTGCATATGGTCTCTGCTTGGCCAGCTTCAATAGGAGCCCCTGGTGGAGAAGAGGGTTCATGGCAGAAACGGGGCATGACAGAAGGAAATTTGCATATGGTCTCTGATTGGCCAGCCTCAAATCCAACATTCCGAGATGAGAAAGAGAGGAAAGGAAAGGCCGGGGGCTGGGTCAGAACACTCCCAATACAGCCCGAAATAGGCACACAGAGCCCCCATAACCCACTCGACATCCTACTGCAGTTTGGAGGAGTATGAACCATGGATGATGGGACTTGCAGTACCACCACTCACATTCTGAGACCGCTGTTAACCTCATCCAATGACTGATCAGGACCAAACTTCGCACATAGACCTCTCATGACCCACCTTATGTCCTGGTGTGGTTTGGCCGGGGATGGACCATGGATTATGGGACTTGCAGTACCTTTGCTCAATTCCTGAGACCACTGCAACCCTCATCCAATTACCGATAAAGACCAAACTTGGCACACAGAGTCCCCATGACCCCCTCTACATCCTGGTGCACTTTTGAGGAGGACAGACCATGGATGATGGGACTTGAAGTACCTCCACTCTCTTCCCAAGACGGCTGCAACCCTCATCTAATGTCTGATCAAGATCAAACTTGGCACACAGAGCCCCCATGACCCACTCTGCATCCTGCTGCAGTTTGAAGGAGGATCGACTTTGGATGATGGGACTTGCAGTACCATCACTCACATTCTGAGACCGCTGTTAAACTCATCCAATGTCTGATCAGGACCAAACTTGGCACATAGACCTCTCATGACCCACTTTACATCCTGGTGTGTGTTTGGCTGGGGATAGACCATGGATTATGGGACTTGCAGTACTTTTGCGCAATTCCTGAGACCACAGCAACGCTCATCCAATTACCGATAAAGACCAAACTTGGCACACTGAGTCTCCATGACGCACTCTACATCCAGGTGCAGTTTGAAGGAGGATGCACCATGGACGATGGGACTTGCAATACCTGCACTCCCTTCCTAAGACCATTACAACTGCCAACAATGATGGATCAGGACCACAATTTACACAGAGACCCAGCATGACCCACTCTACATCCTGGTGCGGTTTGGAAGAATTTGACAATGGATGATGGGACTTGCAGTCACTTCACTCACTTCCTGAGACGACTGAGACCCTCGCCAATGACTAATCAAGACTAAACTTGGCACATGGAGCTCCAATGACCCACTCTACATCCTGGTGCAGTTTGGAGGAGGACAGACCATGGATGATGGGATTTCAAGTACCTCCATTCCCTTCCAAAGATTGCTGCAATCCTCTTCTAATGACCAATCAAGACCAAACTTGGCACATAAAGCCCCCATGATCCACTCTACATTCTGCTGCTCTTTGAAGGAGGATGGACTTTGGATGATGGGACTTGAAGTACCTTCACTCACTTACTGCCACCACTGCCACCCTCATCTAATGACTGATACATACCAAACTTGGCACACAGAGCCCCCATGACCCACTCTATATCCTGCTGCTGTTTGTAGGAGGATGGGCCATGGATGATGGGACTTCAAGTACCTTCACTCACTTCCTGAAAATAATGCAGCCGTTATCCAAAGACCAATAAAGACCAAACTTGGCATACAGAACCGCCATTACCCACTTTCTCTAATAACCCGGGCAACGCCGGGTCCCCAAGCTAGTATATAATAAAGAAGAGTGTTTGTATCGGACAGAGGAATTGTGGAGGGAGGGCGGTGTATGTGGCAGCGTTCTGATTGGCTGCCGCTGTGGTGCTATTTGCATATGGTCTCTGATTGGCCAGCTTCAATAGGAGCCCCTGGTGGAGAAGAGGGTTCATGGCAGAAACGGGGCATGACAGAAGGAAATTTGCATATGGTCTCTGATTGGCCAACCTCAAATCCAACATTCCGAGATGAGAAAGAGAGGAAAGGAAAGGCCGGGGCCTGGGTCAGAACACTCCCAATACAGATCGAAATAGGCACACAGAGCCCCCATCACCCACTCTACATCCTACTGCAGTTTGGAGGACTATGAACCATGGATGATGGGACTTGCAGTACCACCACTCACATTCTGAGACCGCTCTCAACCTTATCCAATGACTGATCAGGACCAAACTTCGCACAGAGACCTCTCATGACCCACTTTACGTCCTGGTGTGGTTTGGCCGGGGATGGACCGTGGATTATGGGACTTGCAGTACCATTGCTCATTCTTCAGACCACTGCAACCCTCATCCAATTACCAAAAAATACCAAACTTGGCACACTGAGTCTCCATGACGCACTCTACATCCAGGTGCAGTTTGAA